AATCCAATATCCTGTATCCAACAGTAGCCAACACTGTAGAATTCAGGGTAAATGACCAGGGCACTGATTTGTAACACTCTGCACCTCAAGCAGTGATCTGTGTTGCATGGTTCAAGCATAACTTTATTATAACTGAAAATTTAAAGCACTGCGTGCATATCGTACTTATTTGCTGAATTCACTACAAACTGTTTATTATTCTTTGACAATTTTTTCATCATGGGAAGGAAGATGCCCTAAAGGGTTGAGGAGAATGAGTATACATATGTAGAACCCAGAAACATTAGATCTCATTAAGCAATGAAAATTGTCAGCATAGCACAGGAATGAAAGAATATGACATTGCTAGTCTTATTTACACAGATGATTAGAAAGCGATAAAGTAGCTGACCCAGACAGCTAATGAATACAGCATTTAAAACGCAGTATTTTCTGCCTTATTTTTTCTGACCTACTTTTCTTTCCCATAATTGTCTTACAGTTATATCTGAAGTTCACATATTGGTTGCATCCATTATTCTGGCTTCCTAGTTATTTGTTAAATTTAGTGAGAATTTGTTTGATTAGCTTTGATTTAGTTCCTCTTGAGAGCCCTGAAGGACTGAGAAAGATAAGCATATCCTATGAGTAGGTCCTACACATGTACTCTATCTCATTAAGGAATGAAAAGTGCAGGGTTAAGGGAAGAAAGGAGAAGAAAGGTTATTCCTATTTACACTGATCTTTTCACAAGCCAAGGCATGATTCTCTATGTTATTAAATTGGTTTTATTCTGATTTAATTATTTAACTACATTCAACAAACTTTGGAGTTCATTTAGAACCAAGGAAGCTGGATACTTCTCAGTATATGAGGTTTGCATTTGTAATGAAATTTTTTAAAATTACTGTACAAAATCTTACTTTTTCCCTATTATTCTACTTTTTCACATCACTTTGTCATAATAAGAGTGCTTCACTAATATGCATTTCAGATCTTGATCGTAAAAACATTGGGTGGTGGCCTTAAAAAACCTATATATTTATTTAAGAAAGAGAGACTATTTCAACCATTAACAAAGAAGGTAGTATTTGGTCCTCAGACTGCTTACTGTAGTTAGCTAGGCCTCTTGCAAGACGTAAAACAGAAAGAAAATAATTCAAAATATTAAGCCTTTATTTTTTGCTACCATTGTCAAACTGAAGTGTGTGATTTACTAGATTTTCTATGTACTCTTTGTTCAAAGCTGACTATTTCCACACTGTGTGTCAGGCCATCCTATGCAAACTGGTGAAGTCTCCTTCTACTAGCTCATTAATATTTCTGTTGCATTTTTTAACAGGACCTTTAGTTATATTTGCAATTATAGTATTTGCCCTTGACAAAGGGAAATGAAAATTCATTCTTTTCACTACTATGATTATTTTCTTTATTTTTTCCAAACATTTTTATACTTTCCCATACATACATAATTAGCTAGATAAACACATAGAGAGAGGTACAGTGGGAACACATTTCCGTCTACAATTTTTCCTCTTTAGAGTGTAAGTATTTTATTTTCACTGAGAATTTAAAATAAGATTCCTGATATACATCAACTTTGAAAAGTTAATAAGTCACATGGATGCATATTCAAATATAGAATTAGTTCCTAATAGGCCTCTACCTCACTGAGCATATGACCTTCCTTTAGCAAGAACTGTCAAAATTACAGCTCCAGTATGCTGGAGATCATGGAATCATAGAGCCAGAGAATGGTTTGGGTTGGAAGGGATCCTAAAGATAATCCAGTTCCAGTGTCCCTGCCATGGGCAGAGACGCTTTCCACTAGACTAGGTTGCTCAGAGCTCCATTCAACCTGCTCTTAAACACTTCCAGGGATGGGGCATCCACAACTTCTTTGGGCAACCTGTGACAATGCCTCACCACCCTCACAGCAAAGAATTTTTTCTATCATCCAATCTGAACCTACCCTTTGTCAATTTAAAGCCATTGCCCCTTGTCCTACCACTACATGCCCATCATAGTGATTTTTCCTGCACAGAGGCAGAGGTACAGATGACCATGCTGGGTCTTTTGAACAGCTGCCTCACTTTTATGGAAACATAAAGGCTATCTCTTTTAAAACATAAAGTATAGCTATTTTAAAAATCAATTTTTATTTTTAATGAAAAATCAGGTTCTCATGCAACCTCTTGATAAAAACAGCTTCACCCATATGGAAAGTAATCATCACTTGTTTTGAAAGTGGATATAAAATCCCAAAAGTTGATAATGCTTGGGTTTTTTATCCTACTCCATCCTTCCCCAGTGCAGATGATTATAACTTACTGGTTATAATCTGATCAGTTTATGAATGCATGAGAGTCTTGTACTCAGTAACACACTGAAGGATTACAGAAGCATAAAATGATTTTTTTTTTTTAAAGGAAACCCAGTCCCTGAAGCCAAGTCTAAATATCTTCACAGAAAGATGAGGATTTTTGCAGGCAACTGGGAAAAAATCACCACTTAATGCCAGCATTTTAGAGACTGGTCAGAGGAGATCATACTGAGAAAGATGCCAAGGCAAGCGTCTAATCAAATGGAGAGACTTATTCTCAACGAAACCTGTACTTAATGAAATAATTAATGAATTTAAAATTAGACGCTTTTCTCAAAATGCAGTCAAAAGATGACAGGACATTGTCCTTTAGGAACAGCAAAGAGAATAGCTTTCACAATTTCAAAGAATTCCCTATCAAGGTGTTGGAAAAGCCATAAAGCCTCATCAGAACTAGTGTTTTGAATTCTGGCCCGGTCTCCTTTCCCAAAAATGCTTCACATCTCAGACCCTTGATGATCACTTACATTGTGAGCCCACAGAGGGCTGGGATCAGCACAGAGCACCTGCCCAGCAGTCAGGTGTTCTTCAAAGCCTGGTGGCCAGGGGCAGGATTTTTCCCTTAGTTACAGCTTCACACTTGTCCAGGTGCCGGTTTTTGTTGAGACATACTGAGATATTATAATTTGCACCTTTTACAGTTACTGTGAGGCAGCTTATTCATTAAAACAAACAAAAAATATAAATAGGGACTCACTATTAAAAACTAACCCTGTGTCTGTGCTGTATGATTACTACAATGTTTGAGGCCTAATTTAGTGAAGGCTATCCGTGCTTGACTAAGAAATGAGAACATTAAATTGGTTTTGTTTTGAAAAAGGCACTACCTCCTTCCTTTATTTTTTGATTTTTATCTATAGCAATTTGCATTCCCTTGTCCTTACTGCTGTCTGGCATGTACAATATCTTCCTATCCCTTTAGTTTTGTTCGCTTTTCTTTCATACGATCACTTAATTATCCCTTTTGTACCTCTAGTCTGTGGTCTCTGGGCCTCTAATACATGGCTGCAGCAACTTCACCACCCCCAAGGCTAGTCAGGTTAAAGATTAATGAGCAGACCTTACCCAGAGGCTTTACAAAGGTTACACATAATTACAAATGGGTCTTTTATGCAGTGTTGAATATGTGAAAGCTACTAAAAAAAAAAAAAAAAAAAAAAGTAAGGGAAAAAATAACAGAACATCTAGGATTTAAGTTAGCCATTTAAATCTTCTCAAAAAACCCCAAACAAATTAGGAAATTCTACCCTTTGTTCCAAAGATGGCAATAAAAACAAAAACACCATATGGTGGAAATTAGTCTACATCTCAATCTTGAAACATCACTGCCTACTAATTCTCCTTTGAAGTTAAGTAAAATGTTTTGCACTAAGAAGATGTAAAGACAAAAAGGTTTAAAATTGTTGATAAATCTTCAGTTAACTAAATTCTCATATTTGACCATTTGTTGAAGGAGAAAACAACCAAAACATTCCTCCTGAAGGAAAAACCTTAAAAGATTGCTTAGCCTAGCTGCTTGGTGAAAAGACGTATGCTGGCTAATTATCTTAATCTTGTGTCTTCTTAACTCACAGAAATACCTTAAAATGCAAACTTAGTATCTGAGACAACACTTTCATAAGTGCAAGTGTAAATTTAGGTTCACAGAACATACTAAAGAAATAGTCTGACTTTAAGAAATTCTAAATTCCACCAAATCACATTTAAGTTAATGGAAACTACTTTGGAATCTGTCTTCAGGCACTACTTGTTTGCTCCCTTGTTTAAAATCTTCAATACAGGAGATAAATGGAGATTAATAATAAAAAACATGTTTAAAAGACAAAAAAACCCACAAAAGCAACAACAAAACCCCCCTCTACCTGTATATTGCATTATTAATGTGTAAATAATGGGCTAAACCTGACAGAAATGTCCAAGAAATTTTATACTTTAGTAATTGCTTCCTACTCTGGATTGCAAGACTATGTTCTCAGAGGTGCTTTGTCTCTTAGTTTTCAGTTAAACTTAGAGGTGACTGAAGCTATGTCGAAACGTTGCAAATTTTAATGTCATTACTTTTATACAAATCCTTACTAGTGAAAGGACAAAACCTGATTACACAAGAACACTTTTATGCAGAACATGGCACTATTCACTAGTGATATCACTCTTCAAGAGTAAGAGAATAACAGAGAACCCATAAAACCACGAAAGTCCTACAATTCTTTCTGAAAGTGATCTAAGCCCAGATGTTTTGTATGTTTAGTTGGATTTCTCATTTAAGCATTTGCAATACAGGTGCTCTGTTTCCTTCTGCTATTTTCTTTCTCTTTTGTCTTCTCTTTTGCCTGGGAGCAGTATCTGTCTAGCATTTATTCTAGTCATATATGAGTTTAACTCTTTCAGCAAAAGGCTATTGAAAAGATAAAATATAAAATGTTGCATTTGAATACTAAGCAACTGGAGTTCTTATTTAAAAAACAAGATAAATTGTTGGATTTAATTGTAATTCTGATAATTAAATCTAACATTTTAGGATTGCACGGTCAGGGACCAGGTCCCTAAGTCATTAGATACACATTACGTAAACAGCTAAAAAAATCTTTGGATTACTTAAAAAATTATAATTTATAATTATTAACTTGTAGCTCTTATGTGATTTATGATTAGTTTATTAAATGCGAATGTCAGAATATTACATAGAGCTCAGAATTTTTTTTCTTCCCACAAGTGAATTACTGCAACTCAAAGAAACATTACCACTTACAGTTTAAAATTTTCAATTCCAGAATTGGAAAATTTCCATTTTTTTCTATTCAATAATAACATACTTTTATAGCTGATTACAAAATAAATTTAACATCACAACACTTTTGAGAAGGAAGCAAACATTGAGAACCAAAAGGAAAGTAAAACCACCCAGACACTTACTTAGGAGAGCAACATTTTTCACAGCAAAACTTGTCTTAGAAGTGAGACAGGTTTAATTAAGCTTTTTTTATTAAAGAGTGTTGAAACCCTGCATGATACGTAAGGTACTTCTACATATTTAATTTGTTTCTATCTCTTTTGTAGACAGAGTTGAGCTACTCTGCAAACTAGGAAGCAATGTTCCAAAGGCAAAAGAAAGCAAAAAATGTGAAGAAAAGAATCTTAGAGTGCTTAAGCTGATGGAGGTTTATTGTAGCTTTTTGACTACAAAATTACTGCTTAGTGTAAAAGAAGCCATGCTTTTGAGAGCAGCAGACACTGCCCTACCAGTAAGAGGGAGTCAAGTTCCGTTTTGCAGCATAACCAGAATATCTTGATTTTTTCTTTACATTTGACTATGAAGTAAAATTTTTAACAATTTCTTTCTTTTACAAGCCATGAATAAGAATTTCTTCTTTTAGGAAGCTCATGCAAGCAGGCTAAGTGAGGAAATTCTGCCCCTCTACTCAACCCTGATGAGGCCACATCTGGAGTGCTGTGTCCAGTTCTGGGCTCCTCAGTCCATGGAGCTCCTGAAGCAGGTCTGGTGTCGGACTACAGAGATGAATAAAGGACTGGAGCATCCCTCCTGTGAGGAAAGGCTGAGGGAGCTGGGCCTGTTCAGCACCAAGAAGAAATGTCTGAGAGGGGATCTCATCAATATCTACCAGTTTCTGAAGGCTGGGTGCCAAGAGGATGAGACCAGATTTCTTTTGGTGGTGCCAAGCAGTAGGACAAGAGACAATAGGTAGAAATTGATGCATAGGAAGCACCATCTGAGTATGAGGAGGAACTTCTTCACTGTGCAGGTGTCCATGTACTGAAAAAAGAATCCCAGAGTGGTTGAGGAGTCTCTCTCACTGGAGATATTCAGGAATCATCTGGCTGCAATCCCATGCCATGTGCTCTGGGATGGTCCTGCTTGGACAGGGAGGTTGGACCAGATGACCTCCTGTGCTCCTGTCCAACCGGATCCATTCTGCAATGGGTACAGAAGTAGGAAATAATCTCTGAGTCCAGATTCTATATATTGTTCTTTGTGGTGTACCAAATTAAGATTTCTCCTGCTGCCTTGGAAAGATTGAAAGAAGAGACAAAAAGAAAGTAGAAAAGAAATTTGGTATTGGCTAGTGATAGATTCTGCTTTCCTTCCACAGGCTGTTTTGAAATTACAAAGATGTCTCATAGTTCCTATCAATAAAAGATACAGCACAATGCTTTCTCCCTGGACCTGCAGAGCTGAACCTTAGTCATACAAATAGATCCACACTGTCTTCAGTGAAGCAGCTTGTAGGTTTGATACAAACACAGACATATATTCATATATAATTCTGTAATTATCGATGTGCATAACAATTTGCAGGACAGCAACCTCATGTTTGTGTCTGACTGGCTTTAATTATATTAAGCACAGCTAAAAATTCTTGTCTTCCTGCCAGGCTGCCACACTTTTAACTCTGTATGAGGCTTCTAGGAAGGATAATAAGCCTGTGTGCAGGCTTTCATATTCATGGACTTCTATTGTTTATTTTACTTCCTTCTAAGCTTGAAGTAAACAGGTACCTCAGTTATCAATATGAAAACAGAGAATTTTGTATAGATTACAGTTTGCATGAAAGCAAAGGACAGCACAGCATGCTTGCTGGTGCAAAGTAGGATAGTAGAGACATAAACCACATCCTTATATTGTGAAGAAATTGTTCTGCTGGCACTTTCAGTGTGTATGAGAGGCAGGTCTGAATGTCCAGCTGCATTTTCCATTCTGGCTTTTGAAGGCAGAGTGTAGAAACTGGACATGTTTTGATTCCTAAGCAGCATATTGAAAAAATATTTTGAGAGAAAGTGGAAAGAATGAATATAACATGTTCCTTTCTCTAAAGGGAGCAGTCAAAATTACTGACAAAGCAATTTCACTGTATGACTGTGGTTTCTACTGCTGTTTTAAGGCTTCTCTTTTTGTCAGTGCCCACACCTGGGTACCTACAGATGCATGGCAATGTTACACTCTTACATCAGTATGCCTGAGTACTAAAGGTATTATTATAAGCCAATAGTATGGACTGCAAAGGACTATGAGATAGTAACTCTGCTACATTTCCTTTAAAGTGTGCTCTATTGATTTGGTGGTTTTTCCTGATGAGTGTGTTTGTATCTTGATGGCTTGCATATCTCCAATCAAGTGACATAGAAAATAGAATTTAGATTATTTGTTTTATTCCGTTATAGATCCATTTAACTCATACTAAATTTCCTTCAGTTTTCAGATGGCTGTAGCACAAGAACAGTGAACTGTACCAGATGGGCTTACTCCTACTGCAAACAAAAATGTTAAACAGCCAAATTGAAGCCTTTCTTCATCTGAATTGTCTCAAAGTCTGTTTGTTGGTGACTTGAATTTCATAACAATTGTCTCACTAGGTGACACATGGAAGTGTCCTCAAACCATGGGCCTAGGTGTATCACTGCATTCATATGCACATCCATGAGCAAATAATTTAAACTGAACAAAATCATAGATCTTGAAGGATGGTAAAAGCAGTATAATAAGTACTACTGCTTTTAACTCAATAACATGTGTTTTATTCAGATTGCATTCTATGAAACTTGGAAGCTAATGATACCTTCCATTAATACAAAATAACGTCTTCTATAATTTTATTCTACCTTCTATGTTTTTATCTCAAAACCACTTTGCTGTTCTCTGAAAATATACATACGGAAAAAATGACAGCTATTCTGTGTGGTGGAAATATGAAGAGATTTTGAGTATATTTGAGATTAGATGGACTTCTGAAATGTACAATATAAGTAGGGTGTTTCCGTATTTGTAGCAACAGAAAAAGGGAATATGTGCAACATGCAGCCATTTACCTTACCATTTACCTTAGTGCTACAGTGCTTAGCCTGAATGGCAGGGCTTAAAGACTTGCGCAGCCAAGTTGAAGAAAGTTAATATGCTGGCACTCCTAAAGAATATGCATTACTTATTGGAAAATGTAGACCACTAGGAAAATAAACTGGGTTAAACTAAATACACAACAGTTCATCTCCAACAATGGCCAGCAACAGATGTCAATAGAAAAGAGTAAAATAGGTCAAGCATACAATATGCTTTCTCAGCCTCTAGCAATATGTAGCTCTTGGCTTTCCTAAGACAGAAATGTCATTTTGAGGTGGTGTTTGGGGTCATATTATTAAGAGTTGGGCACTGGGGGTGAAGAAAACATCTTTAAAATTGAATGTTTGTACCATAACTCCTAAAACACTACTTGAATTCAGTTTTCTTATAGATTATTTACTAAAGAAAACCTATAAGAGCCTGTAGTATTTATTGATAATTGGGGCTGGGAAGGTGTTAAAAGTATGCAGAGGTACTGAATGCTTTAATTAAGCTATGAAACCTCTATGATATAGCTCACAGTACCTGAAGAAAAATTATTCCCTTGCAAGTTTGTTACTATTCACATGTACTGGTGTACCTACTCTTGTGGGCTATTGAGAGCTAGAAAAATTATTGAAAAAAATCCTGAAATGCCACACATGTCCCAGTTCAGAGCACCAGAGACACAAAACATTTAACAGGGGAAAAAAATTTCAACCAAGCAAAGAAACTCACAACAAAGCAAACAAACAAAACAACTCACCAAGGAGCAAAATGAAAATAAGGCAGTGTGCTGGATACACTGTCATGTAACCTTTCTACCCAGTTCTTACTTTCCCTCACACTCTACTTCTCCTCTGAAATTTTGCTCCATGTTACAACTTGATCACTGAAAACTCACCTAAGGGAAAGTGATCTCAACCTAGAATCAGCTTGTTGGAGACAAAACCCCACAAAGGCATACTGAGGAGCATTAACAGATGGATGGATATATGGTACATTCAGGATGAAAAATAAATTATAGTACCTTTAATGCTAATCAATAGGGCTTAAGTGGAAACAGAGCTCACTGAGAGGAGCTACGCTCTTTTTGAGATCACAAGTATGACAAAGTCATCTAAGTAATTTGACCCAGAAGTTCATCACATTTTGAATAAAAAAAAATTATATATAACAAAAAAAATTCATTGTGGTATATATACAATGAATTAAAACTGGCTGATAATCATCACCTAATAGGAATACTTTTAGTCATGTCTCACCATGATCTCTTCTTGCCTCCACACTAGTCAATGTTGTTTCCAATGATTTGGAAGAAATTTTCAATAATGGTAAGGTCTACAGATTCCACAAAACCAGTAAAGTGGTAAATTGGGATAAGAACAGGTCAGTTTGACAGAGCAATCAAGTTCACTTAGCAAGATGAGACCATCTGAGCATCATGCTTTCTAAAGCAATTGAATTTAAGGACAAGCATCTGTGAAAATGGAATTTAGGTCAGAGTTGAAGGAAGGACTAGTTTTGAAAAAGTGCTGGTTTTGAGGTGATAAATAGACAGCGTTTCCAACATGACCTCCTTGTAAAAAAAAAAAAAAAAAAAGGCCAAGCTGTATTCAGAAATGTTCATCCAAGTATATTCAGAAATTTAAAAAAAAAATAGTGAGAAGTTCAAACTATTCCACCATATATAACTAGTAATAATATTAATAAAATAGCACAATATATATTTATAAAAACTCTGTTGGCTGCAAAAGAGGATGTTTATAAATTGGAAATGATTGGTAAAGATATAAAATAGCTACCTAAGACCTGGAAAATCTCACTTTTCCCAGGAGCCTAGAGCTGAGTCTTGTTAATGTACGTGGGAAACATTATGAGTTGGTTTGATCACTGTGCATGTCAGGGATAAATTTCTGGCTAGCAAAGAATGATTTAAAAATCTTCCACTGGTTTAGAAGTTAATCAAGACAAATTTAGAGCTGTAAGAAGTGATTTTTTAACAATAAAGCTATCAATTGGTAGAAGAATTTCTTTTGCAACATGGTGGAACCTCTTCTACTTGAAAGCCCTACCTCCAGTAAAATATATTAAAATATATTCTTTACTCAACCCAAACTTGTAGATCCAGGGAAACATATTTACAGTAAAGATGCTCACAAAAATCTTACATGAGTGACCTAAGATGTTGTTATAGATGAAAAAATAAAAAGAGAGAAAAAAGATGCCTACAGTGAATCAAGAGGAAAGTACCTTCCTTGAAATATAAAATAAGATTACCTCATTAACGCTGATGAGGTGTACCAGGATAACCATTTAAACATTTCTCAGCTTTTTCACCTCAGTATTTATCTCTGCAGTTCTAAAGAAGGCTAGTAGCAGAGACAATAGCTTTAAGCATAACCTGACCAAAGAAGGAGAGAAGGGGATGCATTTGTTGGAAAATTGATCACTGTATAATTTGGACAAGTTTGCTGCTGTTGAGACACTGAGAAAATGCGTGTCCAGTCACCTGTGGTTGATGACCCTCAGCCAGAAATGCAAGTGAAAAGCAAGTGACACGGGTCAGAGAGCACAAGAGGAAAGAATCACATGCAGGACTGGGTCTGCACAGGGCTGCTGTAGGGTTGGATAAACATTTGTACAGTATGTACAAAATTGTCACTTTGTGCACTTCATCTAAAACACACTGATCTCAGCCAAGCAAGAGAAATACACAGAGGTATTGAAGAGATCCCCCCAAGAGATAGTCTCCTACAAGATATGTAGCAATGCCCACCTGTAATAGGTGAGCAGCTTCTGTTGATCCAGTCTTCTCAATCAGTCATCAAGTAAAAGTGGCACCATCACAAAGCCAGAGGCTTGTGTATCTCATATATCCCTCAACTTCCACATTGTTGCCATGTTTCTGGTTATGACTTGCGAAAACAAGTCAATACTTTCATATTCATATTCCACAGACAGATTAAGTCATCATTTTATTGCGAGAATGTTACCTTGTTTCCTTTAATTTTCTAATTGGAGTATCATGCCCAGATATAGGCAACCTAATGATCTCTAGGGTTTTATTTTTCTGTTATTACTTCCAAACCAAGATGATTTGGGCTATTCACATAGCAGTCTACAGGAGTATTACAACTGGATTATCTGATCATATTTACTTAATGTACCCAGTACAGGTCAAAAGCTCATAATAAGAAAGCAACCTGACTCCACATCATCGTCCAGACAGCAGAACCTTGCATACTTCAGGCTGCACTGTGGGTTTGCATATACTCTCCCTGAAAGCTATGTATCAGCCAATCAATGTTTCCAGCAGCTGCTAATTAGCACCAATCCGGACTGGACTGCATTTTGAGTCAGTGCCACAGAACAACTCAGAACAGCTGGTTTGTTTGACAGAAATGTGTTCTCAACAGAAGGGCAGATTCTGATGAAAGTTTTCTAAGTATTTGAGCATTGGTGTACCCATGGCAAATAAAGCCCAGAGATGCTCTGTCCTGTTTATAGCTGCAATATATAAAGGTCAAGGAGGACAAGTCTTAGAGAAGCCAGTTTGCTCATAACTGGACAAATACTTCTCAAAGCAGCTGTTTTAGACAGACAATAAAACTCTCTGAGAATGACCCCATCTCTGAATGCAATAATACTTTTGGGAATACTACTTCAACTCCTGAACAACTCTAAACTGAGGCAGCTACCTTGCTGTCTCCTACCTTGCTAGAGTATGTAAAGCCTTTTAAACCTGCTAATGACTATTTATGTCATAACATGGAGGGAAGGAAATTTCTGCCAGACACTCAGACAAACATGTCTTTATTTTTAGGACCAAGAAAAGTCACTTTCACCAACAGCATCCTCCTGGAGGTTTTCAGCCCAGTCAGAGTGGGTCTGCTCAGCACCCAGAAAGGGAGTATCTTCCATGACTGTGAGCTTGCAGCTCAACTTCACAGCTCTCCCAGCAGAGCAATTGCTAATACATGTTGTCTCTGTGCCGTGTAAACATACACTCACCCTTTTACTCCATTTTGCTGGGTTCAACTTTTATTTCAGAGACACATAAAGACCATCATCACTGGTATGAGAGTGTTTATAATGGAGTAAAAGAAAATATCCTTGATCCATCACATAATTTCTATATGTGACTACTGAGGCTTTCTAGGTGATCTGTCTGTTTAGCAAAAACCTGCCTTGGGTATCTCACTGGTACCTCCGGTAACACAATGTGAAAAACAGTGTCTGCTCTATAACACAATAAAATTGACCTATAGCTCAGTCTGTTTCTGCTAACTGAAGGTTATTTTGCTTTGACATATCCTTGCAGTGTCCTCTGCTTTAATTAATAATGTTGCTGCCATGCATTATGAAAGTCACTCTTTTGCACATACTGGTATCTTTCCAAATTAGGCATTTTAAAGTTTGAGCCTTAAGAAATGCACAGAGTGTATTCAATCAAAAGTCCAATCTATTTACATGCACAAGAGCTGAAAGATTTTTCATGCAAGTTGTTGTACTCTTAGGTTTTTATTATTTCTGCTTGAGCAGAAAGCAATAAATATGTCTTGAGACAAAGGAGAAAGTTAATAAAAAACTGTCCTTTCCTCTTTGTGCTAGACCCTGTTTTAAAACCAGCTTGGCTTTCATGAACAAATTAATTGGATTAGCTCTGCTTCAGCCACAAAGGACAACATTTCTGTGTCACAAGCATATTGTATAATGAACCATCACTGCACTGCCATAGTAGAGGACTGATCCTGAAATTGTATTCAAACAAGTATTATTACTAGCATTAACATTAGAATTCAGTTTGTGGGATACAAATAAGATGATTGAAATGAAAGAAAAAACTGTATGGTGAATGAGGGTATAGAAGGGAGGCTTATCCTACATAAGCCAGCTAATCAGACGGAAGGTGGTCACTGTCAAAAGATATTAAAATTATGAGATATTGTCAATGAAAAATTCACTCTGATTTGAGAAGATGTCAACAAAAAAGAATAAGAATTTATTTTTAAAATATTTTTTTGTTTTGAAAAGAACAAAATAGCCATCTATTTATACTACTCCCCTTCATCATGTTAATGAAATTTTAAGCTGAAACTATTACACAGTTTGTTTTACCCAACACTGCTAATTTTTGTTTATGCAAATGCTTTTACCCATCTCATAATGATATGCACTCCAACCTCTATACTTTACAGCTTTCATTGATCCTCATTTATGTTTTATAAAAATAATTTTGGGAGGTTTCTGAGTGTTTGTGAAATAGCTCAGAATGGGTTGCTGTCTGCTACTATAACAAATAATAAGAAATAGAATAGTTATGAAGGAACCTAAACTATGAAATTGAAATGGCTGTAGTTCATTAAATAAAAAATGTTCTCCTTTAAAAATTAAAGTGATCTTTTGTTTCTTTTGCTGGCTATTCTAGGGCTGGCTATTGATACTGGAAGTCCTATACATTACTATCTTCCATGGTATTATTATGCTACGTCCTATATGGACCATTTATCACAGAACCTTATTTGATGTTTTGCTTAAGTGTTCAATATTCATAACAATTAATAAGAAAAAATTGGAATTTGTTCTTAATTGAGTTCCTAGTAATTTTTTTTTAAAAGAGTACTGACTTGTCCCTTAGTGGTAAATGAAAAGTTGCCAGTGAATTAGGCCATAAGGACAAATATCCTCTCCAAAACATACACATGGCAGACTTTCTGTTGTTTGGGAAGTTGATTTCACAGAGTTATTACTATCAGTTACTGCTATTTTACCTTCTTCCATTACACAAGGGCAGAGGCTTAAAATAAAACCATAACTTCTCATTCTGGATGTTATACAAACATCCACCAAGAAGTAATGAGGGTCCCAAGAAACTTCCAGCTGCAGATTAAGGAGGAGCATTTATCACTAGTCAGCACATCCTGAAGTGTTAGATTTTTAGCTGCTGCTAGGTGGGAGGAAGGTTATTACACCTACACCTGGCCTGAATTCATGCAGGGTACCATGCATGATGCAGGGTATTGTAGGCTTCTGCATCCAAAGGAGCAGTGCCACAGATGGGAGCTGGGCCTGGAAGATTGGGCATTCTTTAAAGAATCTTCCTATGCAGTCACAACCTGTGGCTTGCGTAGACTCTTTCTTTCTTCTTCTTTCTTCCTATATTGTTTGTGAACAAAGTATGGGTAATGAATTTCTAGCATCTGTATATATTCCACTTGTAGAATCTAGACACACCTTTCAGTTATGAGAGGCATAAATCCTTATTAACTATTAACTACTGTTATAGGTAGCATAGAATTATTCAAGCAATAAAAGAGTTTATTTTTTCCCTTGGTTAGCTGTAAATGAGCCTAGAGGAAGCCCAGGAGTTCTAAGTTAAGCTCATTTCATACCTATAGCAATAGCTTTAAAACCTAATCCTGGATATGTTTATACATTTTTAATAGGACCCCAATTTTACATACAGTATCCTCCAGTGGCTTCAGCTGCTGCAGAATCCGCCCGCAAATTTTTTTACTGTTAGACTCAGCAGGTTCAATGCTTGATTATCTTTCCTCCAGTTCAATATCTTCTCTTTTCCCTTTGTTATACACCGACAAGGGGACTATATGCAGGTTCTCTGTGGAGGATGTCTTGTACGTGAACATGCAAGCAATGTGGAATCGATCTGGCTGAATCCAGTATTCAAGGAATTTAATTGAATTATTGAAATTCAGGGTTGAGTCCCTGGGACATTGATCCTGTATTGTCAGCCTCAAAACCTAGGTGCACTGGCTGCTTGATAATATGCTCATACGATTTGCAGTAGAAGGGGTGGTGAATCAAAGCAGTGACAGTATCGCTAACTGACAGAAAACAGAGGAACTGATGCTGAATATATTTTAAAATAAATCAATATAGACTGGCCTGATTGAACAGTTCTGGCAATGTGTTGTGCTGGCATGGCTGCTGACTTACCAGTTTAAGAGTAGGCTCAGGATTCATGGTGGCTGGAAAGCTGGAGAGGGTTGTTGCTGCAGCAATGCATTTAACTTCAAGACACAGAATATTTGCTCATCTGTTTTCCTTGCCAGTAGCTAGAAACTATTGCTTCAGCTGCCAAGTGAAACAAAACAGGATTAAAAGAGAAAATAAATGATAAAATAATACTTACAAAAAGGTAACAAATAAAAATCCAAAGAAAGACCTTTCATCTATACTAATATAAGTCTAAGTGCTTTGCTTATTTTCCTCAGATATTAAAAAGATCATTGAGAATCTGAGGCTCAGGTCAACTAAAAGAAAAAAACAGAAAATGAGATAGGCATTTAAAAACATTAATGCAAATAATGCTTAGCCTTTACCATCCTACTGAGACCTAAGTCACATCCTTCCTCAAGTCCAGCTGATGGAAAAAGGAGACAAAGCAGAGACAGCTGCAGCACTATTCTGCCTCATTGCATGTTGTTTCTTCCATTATTCTCTCTCACCAATTCGCCTGCTTCATTCAATTTTTCATTGTTTGCTTCCCTTGAAATGGGACCTGAGAATACTTGTCTGAGCTGGATTGCACAGCTGTTGCTTTAGCTGCTGCAAGAGGAGGGCAGCTTTATGGCCTTTCTGCAGCCTTATTCCTTATGGGAGGAATAGGCAATAGACAGCCTTTCCTTCCTTTCCTTCCTTTCCTCCTTTTCCTCCCTTCTTTCCTCCCTTTCCTCTCCTTCCTTCCTTCCTTTCTTTCTTCCTTCCTTCCTTCCTTCCTCCCTCCCTCCCTCAAGTCAAAAGCCAAGTAGTTCCACTGTCTCTGTTAGGATGACTCACCATGTAATATGAGAGGTAATATCAGGTCAGAGTCCCTCTCTCTACACCCTGAAACTCCTCATCATGCAGATCCCCCTTTCCACCCATGAACCTAGAAGATATAAAAACTCCACTGTTATTTTACAACATGAATTGCTCTGTATTTGTTGAGATACTGGGGCTGTCACTGCTTTACAAGTGAGCAAGAGGGTATTTTAAAATCCATTTACTTCAAAATGTATTCTCAAACAATTTTCAATTTTCATCCTTTCTTGTTTGTTTGTTTGTCTGCTTCATTCTACCCTATTCGTATTTTACTTCAGGGAATTTAAAATAATAAATTAATTTATTAGAAAAATGACACTTTGTAAAGGCTGACATAGCAGAAGACGGAAGAAGCGATGTTGAAAATGATTCAAAATAAATAATCAGCGCTGTGTCAGAGGACACTACCTTCAGTTCTGGCAAAGCATTTCCTATCTTGAAATGATTAATGTTACGCCAATTTAAAAACAAGCAGGAGTTTTGGCAGCAAGAATGCAGAAAAGCCTCCTAAATGGTAAAATGCTTAGTTTTCAGAACTCACAGGGCGTGTCTATACTAGTATATGAAATGAATCAAACTGTTCTCTGGCCATGAGGGGAAGTGCCAAGGCAAAGTCAGCATCCCCACAGTGAGGAAGATCTCTTCTTGTGAATGGAATGGCTCCTCTGTCCTTCACACCCACGGCTGCTCCCGATCATACCCACACCCACGTTGATAGTCAAGTAACGTGTCAGGGAACATATTAACTATGAAATCAGGTCCAGGAGGTAGAAACACGACTTGAGTCCTTCCTTCAGCTCATGGGAACTTCATAGCCTCTTATTCTTACCCAGGTAAATAAAGCGCGTGACCCTTTGCAACACAGGCATTTCTGCAATTCTGAGGAAAAAGAATTTGGTTTCAAAATATTTGCATTAAAACAAATTAAAACACAACCAAACATGCAAACAAGCAATCAAAAAAACAAAAAAAGAAATCCACAAAAAACTCACCCAACCAACAAAATACTAAGCAAAAACCTCACAATAACCTTCAAGAAATTCCTGTTTTCTCTTTCCACATAGCTCTTTGGAAGGTGGGAATGTTCTTTTTATGGTAATAAGTTTTATTTAATAAAGGCTGCTAATGAACCTCAGTATCTTTTTTTTCACTAAGGACAAGAGCTAAAGCTCAGTGAAATTAATGGAAACACTCCCGAGGAACTTAACAGGAAATGGATCCAACCCTCTTGATCTTTTGCTTCCCCTGCAGCGATTTATGTTGGCTCCCCTTCTCTTTTTCACTATCATCCAATTATCATCTTCATTAACATAAATCAAATACTAATATACGATCAGTGCATTCAAGTAAATACAGAAGAATATACTCACATGCTAACAAGTGTGACTTCAGAAAAATTAAATACATTGATTTGTAAAAGTTTCTTTTCTGACAACTCTGTAACTTTTGATTTAGAAGAGACTTTGCTTTTGGAGAATGCACTGAAACATTTCCTGCATGCATAGAATTTCTTTGGTCTATGTGGAACCCATTACTGTAGTCCACATACAGAAATTCTGGGGGGTCCCTAATACAGTACCAGAATTATCACATAGGTCTTCACTGGAAAAAAAAAAAAAAAAAGAAAATGGCACTCAGTGAAAAAGCTTTGGACTGGGAAAATGCTATAGCAATACAATGTTTATTTGCAAAAATACAATTTCTTTTATTACACTCCAGGAGGGAAAAGAGAAAGAGGAAGCAAAAAAATATCTTTAAGTTCATTGGTCTCAAGCATTGTTTGGTGTAAAGGAAAATTAATTCCTTTTCCCTCCTTTGTGCAACAGCACAAAGGGAAATTACCTAGGAATGTGAATGATTTCTGTACTGCTTTTAGTGAAACAAGAGTGCCACTGCAGGGGAGCCTGGACCAAATAGATCTATGTGGAATATTCAACCCAAAATTTAAAATACACAGGACACACACCATCGCAACTCTCAGGACTGTAGAGGAATTGCAGTCCTCTGCTAACCCTGATATATCTACCAGCAGTTTATCAGCACTCAGATTGTTTTCAGAACTTCTGCATGTTCTGCCAGGGAGAGTTTCAGCATATTGTGTTGTGAAGTACTTGTGTCTCCAGTGATCCTAACTGGTTCAGATTGCATGCTCAGAAGACTCAGAAGAAACCATCTGGATTTCATGTGCTTCGATATTTTATGGGTTGCTATTGACAGAAGACATCAAGTATTGACCTGGCAGGCAGCTACCAAACAGACTTCCAGAGTGCTTCCCAACTCCTGGGTTTCTCTGCATATCCTAGTCAGATCCAGACTCCTTGCTCATCAGTCCTCCTGATGCCCCTCAACAAATGATCAAATTGAATTTACAGATCAGAAAGAACAACAAGGTTCTTTCAAGGTTCCTAGGTTCCCAGAAAAGAAAATATCTTTCCCCTCGACAAAGCAATACCAGATTATGAAAGTAGTTTACTGTCAGAGTTGCTAACAACCAGGCCACTTGCAGGGGAAGGGGATCCAGGAGGTTGGGTGGTGGCAGGGCAGGAACGGGGCAGTGTCCTGCCCAGCATGGTGACAGAGCAGGGTGCCTCAGCCAGGCCAGCAAAGTGGGAACATAGACGCTGTGTGCTAGCCCTCCGACCAGGCAGCTGGCCCCCTGGATAGGGAATGATGCCCACAGGGCCCTGAGAATTAGCTTAGGTCAGTAAAGCAGTGCAGAGGGAGATCTACATACAGGTATACACTCATAATGTCACTGATGTGCACATAGTAAACCATAGTGAAAATTTCCCATTGGATAATTTCTTAAGCATTTTTATCCTTTCTCTTACTTAGTCTTCTGCAAGTTTGAGTCCCATTGCTCATTGTTTGCTGCTTTGTCCAGGTAAATATTACTTTGATTTCAACAGCCCAGGTCTATATGCATAAGGACAAGGTAGGTCTTAGTAAAACCACTTTTTTTTGGCTTCATTTTCTCAACTTCAACATGAATTCTCTTGTTCTGGGACACTTTTCCATCTCCTGCTTTCTTTCATCATAATCAATCTCATTATCAAGTCCTTTTCACTGATAACATTAAGGATTTAAACTAATTCAGGTTTTTTGGCACCACTACTTCTATTACTAAGATTTTTGTATAACATCTTTTTTTCCATTTTTAATACCACATTTATTATGTCTTATTTAGGTCAAAATTGTCCCTTAGCTTTAATGAGCATTCTGTTATCTGCTTCTATCATATCTTTATACAAATAGACCAAACGTACTCTTGATTTTTATTTCATTACCTTAAAAATTTTGATAAGATTTAACCATAAAACAGGCTTTCTGTTCCTGCAGCACTGCTATTAACTCTTTTCCTCTCTCCACTTGCTCCATTAGGAGTTTAATGTGTTGAGTTTTTATGACTGGAATTCTAAACTCCGTACCAGATAATGTCTCAACAGTGCAACTTATAATTAATACTTAATGTTTTCGTTTTGCAAAAGCCTCACTGGATACATCTGAGAATTCTATTTCCATTTTTTACTGCTACATGCACCTAGGTGGTGCATAATAATTCTTTGACTGATTAATACCCCTAAGTCTTCCTGTTTCAACCAGTGAGCCTTCTGATTGAAGAAATTCTCATTGCTCCCTATGTTCATTACCTCGTATTTCAAACTAATTAAATCACATACCCTGTCCCAGTTCTAAAGCCTATCCATTTCTTCCCATGTGATATTCTGATCACCTTCCATATTGTCAATGTCTGCTACATTTGTATTTCTTGAAAAAACATAAATGCTTTCCTGTATGTTGTATTTGAGATATTGCTGATACTTTCTATAACATTTAATCCGATTCTGATTCTGAAGGAATTACAGCGAAGGACTTATTTTTACTTTAGAATAATTTTTGTAGTTCACACACTACGATCTTGTGCTAATCTACCTTTTATTGCCATTGTGCAATTATTTTCCATGCACATTGAGTCCAAGTATATTATGTGCTAAAACAATCTCTTTAGACAAACTCAGTTATCAAAGTTCAGTTAGATGCAATCCACTTGCTAATTCAAAGGCCAGTCTATATTTTTCATTCATCTCCATATATTTAAATATAATACAAAAGGTGTCCTTAATCTTCATATACAACTAATGTATGATTATCAGGTTTTATTGGGCCATTTCTAATACCTTTTTCAGACAGACCAAGTATGGCTCAGCTCTAGCTGTATATTTATCACAAGCTAGAGTCACTGCTTCCAGCTTCATCTGGAATTCATCTGCTTTTTTCTCTCCTGAATAGACCTTGGTCCATGCCTGAAGAGTTCAGCTGTCTCAGCAGGATACACTGAGCACCAGGGCATCCCCTAAAGGCAGCCCCAGCAGTGCCAGGCTTTCTAAGGGGGAGCCATGTGTGAGCAGGTCTTCCTGGTTCAGCCAGGGATCATGATTTCCAAAGAGGCTCAGCAGCCCTTATTGCTCTAGACTGAATCTCCTAGGAAACAGCAAACTGAAGCTGTATTATCTTTTCCCTGAAGCCTGCCAATCTCCAGTCTTACAAATGGGCACAAAGAGGCAGGAATAAAAATATAGACCTTGCATGGACCACCCTGCCTGGAGAGATGCTGGGAGCACTGTGCAGGGTGACCCCAGCTAGACATTCATCCTATAGATGTTGGGTTTGTCTCTGGAGGGGGTGATCTAGCTCTAGTGCTGTAACTAAAGGAAGGAAAGATAAATGCAGAGTGAAGAACAACTGATGAAAGGCAGGTCCTGAGAGCAAAGCTGTGTAGGAGGTAATACAGCTTTGTGGAAAAGGTGTGCACTGAGTGGAGACTGCAAATTCCAAAGGCAACTATCCTATTTGCAGGAAAAAGAAATTCTATTGAAGCTTTTGCTTCAGTGTTTGGATAAAACCCATCTTTTTCAAAGAAGTTATTGTAAATATTGGACTATTTATTAATTAATATGGCTTTTCAGTTCAGGGATGTCATCTTATCATGGATGATAGAATGAAATAAAACAGAAAAAGATTTAATCATACTTTTGTAGATTATATCAAATCCAAAACATAATTTACATATACCATAAAAACTAGATAGAATTTATATGATTTTATGAACAGAAAATGCCATTTTTTGATATTTTTTAAAAACACTTGCCTTGCTGATAAACACCAATACAACTGTCACAGACACATATCGTTTCTGTCTGCACATTAATAATAACAAGACCAAACAAGAATTTTCCCACTCCTTAATTTTCCTTGTGTCCGCCCATAGCTTCTGGATTTGTTCCAATTGCACCTGAGCTCATTAGTGTTCCATAATCCAAAGACTCCTGGTGCCACATTCACTTGGCTCCTGAGTGAGGTGTATCCACCACTGTGCCAGGTGAACATTTATAATCTGGGGCAAGTAGGATGTTCAATTGAATGGAGGGCATGGGCAGAGAACGATAAAAAACCATCCATTTTGCATAGTCTCTGCCAGAAAATCTTAAAAGCTAAAGCCTTCTTGCTGCAAACAGCTCGGCATTTACATAGCTTAACTGTCAGAGTGTGTCTCTACCTATTCAAGGGTATAGCCCAGTCCATAAAATTATCCATGTGCATAACAGCTGATGGGTTTAGAACAGCAGAGGTAAATGACTTTTAAACAGACCTCACAGATGGCAAAACTGTTTAAAGAAGGTTCTTTTTCTCCACTGGTGTGAAGACTCTGAGGTACATAATTGCTGAAGCCTGAGAGAGAGTCAGAGAGCAGGTAGGCAAAAGAAAGGTTGTGGGCATTTTTGCCTCGCAGCCTTGAGCCCTGCTGGTAACATACAGCACACCATCCAGCCAGAGTTTATGCAGTAGGTGTAGGGTCCCAAACTAAAAATATACAGCATTTGGAGGAGCTAAAAGTTGGAATAGTGGCTTTTACAGCAAGGTGGTCCATATTCCGCATTTCATTTCAGGAGTTGGATGCGACTTTCAGAGTGAGTTCCACTGAAAAAAGTCCATTATGGGATCCTACAAAATAAGCAAAAAAATCAATATTGTTCAAAAAGGGAGAACAGGAAAGGGGGAGAGACAGAGAAGGAGTACATATGCATATGCAGTCAGTATACCGTGCTAGAGAATAAGGAATGACTGTTCCTAGTTTTACAACACAATACCACAAAATTTTTCCTGAAAATATGGTTACCACAAAGAAAAATAATATGAAGATGCACTGAGATTTACAAATGCTGTTTTACCTGATTAGATTTACTATGAATTCCCCAAGGCTTCTCTCTGCTTTCAGGTCTCTTTACTTTCAACGATAAACCAATTGCATTGATAATTTAACAATCCACAGGATTTCCTTTTCAGAAGAAGCAATGTCATACATAGCAAATTGAGGTTTCATGACATTTGAAAATTATTAATAAATAAAATCAGGTTTGGAAATCAGAGAAAGCAATGTCCATGAACTCCCCTCATTACCATAAAACTTTATGGTAAAAAATAAAAAATAAATTGCAACGTGAAACACTGGAAATATTTCTGCACTTTCAGTTCAAGTCACAAAATATATATTTCCTCATTTATCCTCGCTATCTTAACAAACAAAAGCTCAGTAATATGGGGAGAGCATTCATGCATGAGCTTGCAAGCACAGCACGAAATAGGAAGATTTGCGATGTTCCAGGCAAGTATTTTGTCAGCTTCTTTAGTTTGCATGTTGTTTAGTGTTAGGTGTTTAGATTCTGTGATGATAGGCTCTACATTGGGAAAACAAAAACCACTAAGAAACTATCTAGATAACATTGTGGTAGATAGATAGATAGATAGATAGATAGATAGATAGATAGATAGATAGATAGATAGATAGATGTGGATTTATTGAGGTTTTTAAATACTTTTTTACTTTTTAGGCCTTTGCTGACCATTCAGCTACAAGTAGAACTTATCAGCTTTCCTTATTTCAAGAATGTGTTATGATATAGATTTCTTAATTTGATAACTTGTAGATAATTCAAAGACAGATCATATCCCTAGGCCCTGGCACAACAGTCAAGAGTTAAGAGTACTGAATATGACTTCTAGAATAATTTTGGCTTGAAATTATTCAAGGGGAGAAACTGGATTTCTTTTTTAAGTCTGGAAATACTTTTTTCTGCAAATATTGGCAATAACCAAGTATCCATGGGAAAAAATATTAAAAATAACCAGGGACCTCAATGGTATATTTTTTCATGCATCTCTAAATATACATAAATTTGATTTTGTTTCTAGACTAAATCTTAAACACTGGTTACTAAGCAGGAATAACTAACATATAGAAATTATCCTATAAAAACAAGACCCCTTCCTCTTGTTGCAATTACAAAAATGCAACAGCCTGTTATGAATAGGTGCTGCTGCACATCCACAATTTTGGACTGTATCTTTGTTCAAAAATGATGGCTATTTCTGTCAGCAGGATGGCTGTTTCTGTTAACAAGAGTAGCCATCCTACTCTCAAATCTAACAGGCGAGTCTCTTGTATTTTTATACTGTTCTTAGTGTGAGATAGCTAAATGAGGCCACCCCCTGGCCATGGTTCACCTTTTGATAAAAAACATCAGTGATTTTTGTGCTCGACTTATATTTTACTGAGACAAAACTAAGAAAGGACAATATATGCCTTTGGTCAGCCTGCTTAAGGCAGCCATTGGGGTGGCATGCACAGTAACCACAGTGTCCTAAGGACATAAACAAAGCAATTTTTGTATGGAATGATATATTTTATTACTAACTAACACACTTTGAAAAAAAAAATCTAAACCCCCAATCAAGACATAGACTCATGAACCTGAAATTACCTAAAGAAAGACTATTGTGTCTGGAAAGCTGCCTATTTTGTTCATCTGATAAAACATAATTTCTTTTCATAATATCTTTGCATTACCTAGAAAGAGTCCTTTTAGTTCAGGAGTCTTCCCAGTCTTTCCAATATCTAGAAAGTGGTACCAGGTTTTACTTCTACCAAATGTTCTACCCCATCTTTTGTCTAATACACACTGCATCATTGTGCCAGCCTAGGCAAGATGTTTTTGTATCTCTTCTGGAAATTGCTCATATACAAAAACACAGATCTAACATCCTTCCTGTGATATAAGCTTATGCTAAGCAATGTCTCCACACTTCCCAAAATTACATGTGCCTGTATCTTTATGTATTCTTTGATCACGTTGAAAGGATGAATCCATTGTGCTTGTTTATTAGTCCAACAACTGTGTTCAGTACATGGGTGGAAACATTCCCTTCAGCACGTTAATTACAGATTCACACTAGGGGTTCCTTTGTGTTCTGAGAGAATACAGTTCTTTGATTACACAAGACCTAAGTGGCATTTCAGAATATCAGCATTAATAACTCATTCCTACAGATCTACCAGGTAGAATTAAAATTAGGAAGAAGGTTTATAACTTGTCAAACTATGTTTCTAATTAATGGAGTTGTGTAACAACAACTACTTGCTCCTTCACAGATTGCGCTGTTTTCCTAAATACTGTTGTTCTGATGTCACATGATGAAAATCTGCAGTTTTGGAAATCTACCATTATGAATGTATAGGTGAACATAAGCAAACATATTAAAAAAATACAAAATCGGCTAAAATAGGGTTTATTACACAAACATTTTGAATATCTTTCTGCAGAATGTTTATAGCCATTGATGATTTCAGATTATTTAACTGGTATAATTTAGCAGAAATAATACTCTTCTTATATGGAATTAATAATAATTTCCCTAAAAGCTTTTGTTAAAATAATTTTGTTATTCTTATGGAGAAGAAAAATATTCTCATGGAGACAGAACAGGGAGCTGAATTTTTCTCTGCTCCAGTAGTACAATTGTGTTTTGCTTGGAAGGTATTAAAAAACCCACTCCCTTTCATTGTTTTTTACCCTATTTTATAGTGAAAGTGGGTAATTTAAACCCTCTATGGATGGGATTGATCCCTTGTAAACTAGGCATCTAAACTCTTATTGTCTAAGAACAGTATAATTCTTGCTTTCCTTGGGGTTAATGGCATGCAGTAAGCGCCTCCCAGGAAGTAGTCAGCCTCAGACAGCAATCTAGCAAAGACCAGATGAATTCCTCTTTACAGATATTTGTTTCTTCCTATTAAGTACAAAAACACCTTCGGGTGATGAGCTCAGGTTTTAACTTTCCACCTTCAATATGCATGGCAAACATTCCTTCACAAATCCACATAATTACTGTCAAATCACTATTTACAACATGACTCCCTGGTGAAACCTACAGGGCTTACAGACAATGGACAAGCTGTTAGCAAGCTCAGACTTCTTCTGTGATAATTTGTTTATTTTGTGGTTATCTTATCCACCTTTTTCTCCCTGGTGGATGTTTTACACACCTATGTGTATCTTGCCAATCCCAAAGCAAATCCTGGCTCTGTGGAAAATGGCAGGGCCAGGATATCTTATTCTCCCTCAAATATCATAAGATGTATGGAGCAGTTAGGTCTAAGTCCTTAAAATGGTTCACTAGCCTCTACATATTATTGCTCAAACCAAAAACCTACAAAGCACATATAAATAGACTGATCAAATAAAATAACTGTGACAGTAAGATCAGCTTGTTCTGCTTCTAGGGAAAAAAAAAAAAAAAAGAAACAAAAAAACCCCACATACCAACACAGAAACCATACAGTGTAAAATGATCCTTTCAATGAAAATTGAGTTTTTATGGTTCCTTATTAGAGACTTCCCTTACAACTAATTATATTAAACTTCTACATTCTCTGCTTTTTCTCATCAGTAATCTCACAATCTCCAAATCTGTGAAAGTAAATGCTTAGTCAGTGTGTAAATTGAGAACAATTATCATTATGACCACACAGTAATACAAAAATAATTAGACCATTGCTAGCAGCAAAAATATAAATCAAATCAGTTTGTAATAGGAACATTAATAATTTGTTAAAGATACAATCTATTGCACATGAAGATGGGAAAGCAGCTGAGCTGAGCTGCTGAGCTGAAGACAGCCCTTGTTTTGAAATAAAGAGCACAGAGTTCAGGGTATGTGCATCAGTGATAATCTAGGGGTGATTGTGTTCAAGAGAATTTACAACCTATTCCAAATGCGTGAACTCAGTGGAACTGGGAAATCAAATGGCTGAATAGTATTTATTATGCTACCCTTATCTTTGCCAAGGTGGAGAGAAAGACTGGAACAGTTCACTTTGCCTCCAGGCATCCAGTAATGAGCCAACCAGTGGTGCATTAGGAAGTAGTGGGCAAGTGGCATTATCATCAGGTGCATTTTTAGTAGCAGAGTCAAGTAGCACTGGGAGCATTATAAGTAGTGCAGTCGAGTGCTGGAGCATTGGTTATTATAGCACAGAATGCACAATAGCTGGAAAGCTTTGGGAAATATAACAAGCAGAGTTAGGCCTGAAACATCCACTTTAAATACTGTCAAACTTTGAACAGCAGCAACTCTAAACTCAGACTTTCCCTTTGGCACCTAGGGATCAGTCTAACAGGCAAAACCTGAGTCTCAAATTTGAACTCCCCCAAATCCTAGAAAATCCTGGATACATTTCTAATGACAAGTAACATGGTCCAGATTCTTTCAGACCACAATAGAGTACAGCTGAATGCCACAGAGAACATTCCAAAAAAGGAGCTCTTTGGCATGGTAAGCATTAGTAGTCAGGGAGCCAAGGAAATACCAAATGTGCAATCTAAAAATTATGAAAGAATTAGTTAATTACTAAAGTCTTTCCAGATAACAATACCCCCCCCCAAAAAAAAAAAAAAAAAAAAAAGCAAAAAAAAAAGCTCTTCACAATATCAGGGATAAAAAGGGGTCTGTAGGAAAAGACTTTCATCGGGAGGAGGCTCTACTGCATCACAGTAACTGTATTATCAGGCTGTCAAGACCAGTTCTGAGAGAAACGTATGCCAGGTGGAAGTTACAGCACAAGGACAACTTCCCAGTCCATGTTTTGATGCTGCTTTTGCCCAGAT